CCCCTCGCCGGGGAAGGGGCTGTGCCTGTCCCCGTCCCTCCCCGCCACTGGTGTTGAGACTCCAGAGCCAGGATGCTATTACTTGAAAGTTTATTTTGCCTTTGTATGGAGAAATATTATTTGTTGTAAACTCTTCTGTAATGAATCTGGAATTCTTGTAATTATTAAAGACTTTAACCGAGACTTTACAGCTGTGGCCCCATCCCTGGGGGGGCAGGGGGATGCTCTGGGCTGGGGATGTGATGGGGAAGGGGCTGTAAGGGGTCCAGGCACTGAAGCTCATCCAAGTGACCGGTGGGGGAAGGCGACGTTCAGCGAATAGTGAGGAACAGCGCCTGGTTTTGTGGGAGCTCTGTTTTTCATGGCTTCAAAAATCCCCATAAAAATATTTTCTCATTCCACAAACAAATCGCATTCGCCTTCTTTTTGCCAGCAAAATGACGCGTGCATGACCGTGACGGTGTCAGGAGGTGTCACCTGGCAGGTCCCTTCCTGGGGACCACCGAGGGACCCCGCAGAAGGGCTCGGGGTGAGGCCGCCCCGCGGGGCTGGGGCAGTGGGGGTCCGGCCGGGCAGCCCTTCCCTCCTGGGGGCTCTGGGTCAATCCCTCCACTTGTCCCATCTTTTTTTTTTAATCCTCCCAGGAGGGAGCCAGTGCCAGACCCATCCTGTTTGCATTTAAACTTGACCTGATGCCTCCCGAAACTGCTGGCCCTGGGAAAGGCATCTCATGGCCTGAGAAGCCCCCAGGGCAGTTAAAGATGCTGCTGAGGACCCTCAGCGGGGGCATCACGGAGCATCCTGCACCCCACGTCCCCCCCAAGCAGCTCGGGCATGTGGGGTCCGGGCAGGGGTGCCCAGTGGTGGCTCACCTGGGGAGGGGGGCAAGGGGCTGCCAGCCCCTTTAACGAGCACTTAAATGGTTAAGATGAAAGGGCTGGGGGATCAGCCAGCCTCCCCCGCCCTTAAAAAGCATCTGCTTGTTGCTGTTTCCCTCTGTAAATTAAATCGATCAGCTGCACTCTGTGTCCGCCCCCCACCCCCCCAAATTAAGTAGAGCTTTTAATCAAGTGATTTATGTTGAATTCACAGTCCCAGATTAAACTCGCAGCCCAGGCAGCCGGGAGCAGGGCTGGGGGTCTCCATAAATCACCGCTCTCCCTGGGACCGGCTTGGCAAGGCGGCGGGGAGAGATGGAGCTCGTGTTTACATCACCAGCAACTGCTGCTATCACAATCTTCTGCTCATTTCCTGGGGTTACCAGGAGGGCAATTAAATATGATAATAAGCAGAGCGACTCCAGCAGCGCTGCTAATGCACACCGTGGGGCTGGGGAAGGGCTGGGCACACGTGGGTGCCCTCCTTGCATCCCCTCGGGGACCCAGGGCACGGACGGTCCCTCGGGCAGAGCCCTGGGGATGCTGCGTTCCCTCCATCAAGCCCAAGCCTTGGAGGTCTGCAAGGACGATGCTGCCTGCACGCTGGCCCCAGAGCAGGGAGAGCTGGCTCCTCTCTGCTCTTCCCAGTATGGCTCAGGTGAGCAGCTCCAGGAGATGGAGATACCTCGAAGCTGGCGTCAGCACCCTTTGCTCGCAGAGCCAGCACATGGGTGGCCCCCGCGCCAGCTCCGCATGGAGCTGGACCCTGAGCCATCGGCCCCGAGAGCAGCAGCAAGCCCGGGGCCAGGCTGCAGGAGCTGCCCGGGCACCCTCCCTGCTACAACTGAGCTCAGGAGGTGGGTGGGACGGGGTCCCTTGGGAAAGGACCCCAAAACAATGCGGGATCCGGAGTCACTGCCTGCGGGAGCCCCCTGAGCGGGTGGCCGGGGGCACTGGGTGTTGGTGGCCACCGAGTGCTCAGCCCACGAGGGCATGTTTGGCTCTCACAGCATCCTTTGTCTCTTCCACTCCTCGCCTTCCTCTTTCTCTCCTTTTAAAGCCCTCCGGCTGTGCAGGACCGAGACAATCTCTTGGCCCGGGCCCAGGACCTGGCTGCTCCGCTCGGCACTGAGCCGGGCTTTGTCCGCCTGCCAGCCATGGCAGGAAACCTTTGCAATTCCACCCCGGTGCAGGGTCCCACGGGCCAGCTCCCGGAGCACGGCTGGGTGGGTGTGTGGGGAGCAAACCCCCCTCCCCGCTGCCCCTGCACGTTCCACCCAGCTGTGGGGTCCAGCCCCAGCCCACCCCGGCC